GAACCGCGCACCAAGGATCGCACACAGCCAGGAGTGAATTCGCCGGCTAGCTCGCTCCACAGCCGGAATCATGCAATCGATTCGGAACCGCGCACCCGAGCAGGGTAGCGCATCCGGATTGCACACAGCCATGAGTGAATCTGCCGGTTATCTCCCTCTACAGCCGAAATCATGAAGTCCGTTCTGAACCGCTCACCTAAGCGGGCTAGCGCACTCGGATCGCACGTTCGTTTATCCTGACGAATTCCAAGGTGCGAGACCCGACAAATTTCGCGATCAAGCTACACATCTCGGAACAAACATGGCTGCCTCCACGAACACGCTGTTTTGTTGTTGTCTGAGCACAAAATTTCATGGAAATTAGACATTTATCAATTCACATGAAAGACCGTGTGCGATTAGATTCATGACTATAATAATACATTTAATAAAATAAACATTTTTGAAGTATTTATGAAATAGAGAAGCTGGACAAATCGTCTCAGACAGGAGGAGCAGCCTCAGCACTTCAAAAGTATTTTTAAATGCTAACCTATAAAACAAATTGCATAGTATGTAGCCTATATAGTTATTTATTTCCCTACAATACTTCTATATTGACTATATGTGTTTTTCTTAGTTTTCAGTTGCACATGTTGCTTGTTTACTCCAATTGGTGTTTTTATATATTTAACATTTCATTTTTAGCCTATATGCTCAGCAATTTGCACATTTTACATTTTTCTTCCATTTGCTGTTGTTCTTACATTTAACACTGTACACTTCTTAGGTGAAAAGTAATTTGCACATTTGTTACGTTAAAAGTAATTTGCACTTTTTGCATATGCATTATTTTAGAATTTTATTCTTGGCCAACTTCTGATTTGCACAGTTAGCTGTTTTTCTCCATTCGGTTATTTTTTGCCTTTTGGCTATAAGCAATTAGTACATTTTGTATTTTTCTTTCATTCGCAGCTTTCATTCTTAGGCTATGTTCTAATTACATGTAAGTAATTTGTACATTTTGCATTTTTGTTCCATTTGTTGTCATGTGTGTTTACATTTTGTATGATTCCTTTTTGGTGTGTGCCACTCTTGTCTTATACTTTGTCATTTATTTCGAAGTGCATTCATTCTCATCACAAGTCAAGTATACTTTTTACTATGAAAGACAAATGTTTCGGCTGGCGATTTGGCAATACTGACTCAGGTGAGTCGCACACCCGAATCAGTTTAGCGAGTGACTCAGAGGGAGCCAAATCCTAAAAAGGAACCGAATATTACAGCTCTACATGGGAGAGACTAATACCTGTGGCATTCCATTTTCAGTTGCGGTGGGTTTCTAAATATGGCCTTCCAAAAATCAAGTCTAATAAAAAAAAAAAAAAAATTTAAATGAGCAAATTGATTTGATTTGTTCTTCTATCCCAACTTGTGATCTAAAAGCAATGAGGCTGCCAATTATCAGTTCTATGGAAATGCACTCCCATAGCCACTAGGGGAGCTCTCACCTTCCTGCTAAATTATGTTGTCTAGTCTAACAAACGGGCCTTGAGCCATGAATAATAATGAATGTAGTGAATTACTATATTCTCAAATTACTTTTTGTAGTTTTGTGAACAACACCATGTATTAAACAAATCTGCATTGGCAGAATGAAGAATTAAAAATGAAAATAAACTATTATTTAAGAAATATTCCTTGGAACACCAAACTGTGGAAGACTGTGAATTTACAATGTTTTCCTTGAGACGTGAAGGAAGAGTCCGTTAACAGGAAATGTGCCGGTAATTTTCTGCAAGTACATTTTCCGTTTTTTGCTGGATTTTTTTTTGTTTTACAGTTTACAGTTAGTTTGTAAATTACTCGAATTTGTATTATAGAGATAAACAAACTAGGCTATACATGATTATGGCTTCCATGTAAGCACACCCGATTAACAAAAACAGCATAGAAAAACTTACCTTTTCATTTAATTTCCAGTGTTTCAGCAATAGTTCTTGGAGAAGTGGCGAAATTCACGTCCCATAATGCACTGAATTTCCCGGTAACACTGCTGTAAATACGTTGAAAGCAACGAAACTTCCCACAATGCCTAGCGTTTTACAGTACAATGCTGTAAATACACGAATACAGTCATTTACTGGTTTAAAAATACAGCAATTTTTTACAGTGTGACAGTGCATGTCTGGCATCCTGTTAACTGGTTGTGTGGTGATGACAGACTCAAATGCTGGGATGTCCTTCAACTTTAAATGCACTAGTTAACTGTTTTATCTCATGAATCAGAGCTGTATTTAATGTCCCTTATAGAAAGACAGCCTAGAATTTTCTCTGCTGTTTTGTAACTGCATACTCTTTCCATGCATGTTATAAAGGAAACTTGTTTTATTTGACTTTTATTTTCATTCATAGTTGTTCACTCAAGTTTCCAATAATAAAAGTAAAATCTGCAGTTTATGAAATAAACTGCACACTGTGGTGTACAAAAACTTTTGACTGGTAGTATATTTTTGAGCTTTAGAACGTATCACGCAATCAAATAGCTGACCCATTAAGTATAGGTCTTACACTTGCAATCGGGGAGACTGGGGACAATTCCCCGGGGGGCGCTTAACTGTTGTCCCGCTGAGAAACACATTAATTTGACAAATTTCATATTTGGCCGGTCTGAACTTAAAAATTGTAAAACAATGCTTCCGAAGCTTAAAAAGCGACTTTTCTCGCACAGGCACGCACGCACACACACACACACACACACACACACACGATAGACCACGATTGCTCAGCATAGATATAGGAACGAAAATACGCGGCACGCGCGAGAGTGCGATCGCTTGTCATTTATGGGTGACCGCAGTGAGCGGGTGCAGAGGTGTCACAAATGGAAGTTCCTCAAACGATAGGATAGCTGCAAAAGTCGAGCTGCTTTAACAGTTCAATGTGCTATTTATTATTTATTTTCTTCTTGAAATGTCAGTAATAAATGCATCTGGATAATAAGACTTAACTGTGACATTATTTATGAAGCTTTCCCCAGAACAAGCACAAAATGGCCTTTGGTGTAATACTCCAGGGCTGAAAATTAGTGCCACTCCGTGCCTGATTACGCATCTTGCAATAAGGATATAGTAACTTAAAAGCAGGGTTCTTATAAAAAATAATATTGACGCTGACCGCATGCATAAATAAGCAACTGGGTACTAAATTAAATGGGAGTATAGGCACCATGAAACTTACGAGGTCCAAAGAACAAATTGGCAGTGATAAAGAGTACAATTTTGATACATTATATACGTCATGTGCTATCTATACACATCAATACAGAGCACAAATAGTAATAACTCAGTTACTACTGATAATTCATTAATTCATTAATGATTAACAAACATGAGATCAGTATTAACTATTAATGTAATTCCTGACTTGCCACTTAAGTTGTTACTCTAAAGGTGCACAGAATTAACAGACATAATAACAAATATATAGCACCGATTCTTGACACTTTGGCAAAAACATGTCCCACTAAGAAAAGTGCTCATTCTGTAGGAAATTAATAAAATTTTCATGAATAAAAAGAATCAAGGTTATAATTAGGGGGCCCTTTGCACATATGTAAGATTCTTTTATAGGCTTATCTTTTATTATATGTTGGCCCATTGCCTACAAAATCAGTTGTCCTCAGATAGGGGATAATCATTTCAACTTGATTAAAAAAACAAAAAGTAATAATTGATCTGAATAATATCTTTTCCGCATGAAAGAGTACATTGTAATATGTATTAAAACCTACAAACAGTGAGTTTTGAACAATATTTACTATTACTTTGTGGTTGCTCAAAATGCGTCCCACATATTCGTCACCACCGTCAAATATTTATAAAAAGCAATACAATTAGCTACAAGGTCAACCCCATTCCTGAGGACCCCATTTTCAAACCTTCAGCTCTACTGTATGCTTCAAGATCCCTCAAGCTCCTGTAAGTTTGCTATTTTCTCTTAAACTTGTTCATATTTTTGGACACTGATACTGTCACAACCATAACATGTCAACACCGTCTCTTTTGTAAAAAAAAAAGTATAATATTATAGATTATGACATAAATGTATACTTTTTACGAAGAGGTCTGAAGTAGCTAGCAACAGAGGGGAAACAAAATGGCTAATGTGAACAGCTCATGCATATCATGTGAAAGAGCAGGTTTTTGTCGCCACCGTCAGACGTCACTACCGTCAGGTTTTGACAGTGGTGACAAAAACCTCCAAAGGGTCCTTAACGGAGGCTAAAATATAATTGTTGATCACAATAAATACCAATATGACCTGTGATGTTTCATTAACCTATTTTATATTTTTTATTTATGTAATTCCCCCTATATTTCTCCCATATCGTCCAACCCTAGGGGAGGGGGGTGCCTTCCCTCTCTCTCTCAATTCACTATTATGCCATGTTCATTTAGCTTACGTCGTCCAACATCCACAACATTCCCCCAAATCATACCCCCCCCCCAAATCATTACACTCAGCTTTGACTTTATGTTGACAAAAACAAAGTAATAACTGAAAAATGCCCATTTTATAAAAAAAATACAAAATGAGGAGGTTGCACCGGTACATTGCTGAACAGCCAAGACCTTGGTCTATAATGATATACCTTCATATTTTGTAATTTAAGTAATTTTTTATTTTCCGAATTAAAATCTGTTTTATCCAATTTCCCAAGAATCAGTGATAGTAATTGCTTGAGTAGAAGCGTCGCGATTCATTAAAGATGAATTAACATGAAATCAGTATGTAACTAAGATTTAGTCTGTGGTTAAATAATACAAAAGTAATAGAATAATTCTACATTATTTGCGCCCCTTCAAACTGTTACCGAAGAATGTAATAAATGTTTCCGCAAAAATTACGATTCAGAATCTTAATACTTAAACATTGCATTTTCCCTAAAGTAATGACCTCTACTAGCTTCGTTAAATAATAACGAACAGGATTTCAAGGTTAATTTATGGAACACTTACCTGAAAAATGAGACAGAAAAAGAGGTATGGACAATAGCAGCGAACATGCATTGTGAAAAAAATCTTCAACAAACTATAAAAATTCAAAAGCCAATATTTCAGAGGCAAGCAGTTCTCAATGTGCTATTCGGACAAAGAGAAACGTCGTTAGACGTACTGCAAACGCATCAGTCAAAGGGTCTTTTTAAATTTATACCGCGCTATGAGTCACGCTATATGAGTCATTCGATTTCCTTTTAAAGACATAGATATTCCTGCAATCTGGAGGCCGGGGATCCATCCATTTCTGATAACCTAAAGCCCTGAGCAACATCATTGGTGCGTATGAAATACATCATACTAAAAGTACACCGATTAATAATTAAATAGATACCAGATTCCATTCAACAATTGTCTCCGGGTGGTTTTCTGTTTAGGTCTATATCAATGCATTTACACTGTTAATGGGGAAAAAGAAAACACAAAATACCATTGATGAGACTTATTCTTGGAAAATTGTTATACTTTACTTAGAATAACTTACAGTTCATTAATGTTTTATCTTAATTGACCGGAATAACAGTGATGTTAATCCAGAGGGTCACGAGCCTTTCAACGCCCCTGTGTTAAACGATAAATACTTTAATGTTTAAAAAGCTCGGATAGTTTCACGGAACCATGTCCTTCCCTGTGGTGTAGTCTCTGGTCTACAATTTTAATAATAGGAAACTGAGAACTTCATCAGCAGTTGATATTATTTTTGTCTCTGTCTTAAGTGTTCCTAAATTCGTTCGTATTCTTTTTCCAAATCAATAAACTAATTCTTAGAAAAGGAAATGGACAGGAAGGAAGTGTATGTATTCTTCTGCAACTTTACTTTAAATCAGTGGTCACCAAGCCTGCTCCTGGAAATCCACCACCCTGCAGAGCGTAACACACCTGATCTACTGTATAATACTCAATGCACAGTATGCTCCTATAACCTTGGCTATTAGTTTACTTCCAGGAACAGAAAGCCCCTGGTCAGAAGTTACTGCAACTTACTCAGAATTCATTGATACTGGAATCTTGCAGTGAATGGGTTTTAGCCCCTAATTTTAGCCCCTAATTTCTCTGTGGCTGCATTCATTCTGAAAGTGCTTACGGCTTTCATCTTTACGATAAAGTACTCACCAAAATACTTTCTCAGACTGTATAATGCAAATTTCAATGTGGGGAAACTCTATTATGTACCACTTCCGACACATTTGCATGCTTCTGTGAGTGTTTTAAACTATTTTCATTCTTATTGTATTTTTAATCTGTACACTCGGGAGGGGGAGTTCCTGCTTTATGCCCTGTCTTTCCTGGGGTAGGCCTCAGATTTTTGATGCCCCATAGTGCATAAGCAGAGTCATGGAAAACAGATGGATGCATGTCTGCATGGTTATATATTCTTTCACAGTATTTTTATATTCAGGAAAATCACTAGCACTTCCCTAAGAGCAGCACGCTTGGCAAACATACAGTCATTCTAAGGTTTTACATATCAGGGCATAATTGAAAATCATCTGGTCCTTAGCAGGTCTTACAATTAGGAAAATACAACCTCAGATGAACAACAACACATGACATATTACACCATGTCATTAGTTATTTAACAAAGACTAAGCCAAAACGCAGGAACAATGTGTGAAAAAAGGGGGCTGTATGTAGCTCAGCTGGCTTAGTCTCGGTGCCTGTGAACTGGGAAATGCCAAACAACTTGAAGTCCATCATTCTACAGTGATAAAGATTAAGTGGAAGACATGCAAGGCAGTTGCCAATCTTCCCACAGGGTGGACGTCCCAGAAAATTCACCCCAAGGTCAGACCGTGCAACGCTCAGAGAAATTGCAAAAAGTCAAGAGCTGCATCTCAGACTATACTGAACTGAGTTAGCATGTTAAATGTTGTGTGTGTGACAGTATGACAGTACAATTAGAAAAACATTGAACAAGGATGGCTTGTTTGGAAGGGTTGCCAGGGGAAAGTCTCTTCCCTCTAAAAATAACATGGCAGCATGGCTTAAGTTTGCAAAGTCGTATCTGAACAAAAACAAAACTTCTGGAACAGATTAAATGTCCTTCGGAGAGATGAGGTAGAGGTGTTTGGTCATAATGCACAGCGCCACATTTGCTGAAAACCAAACACAGCATATCAGCACAAACTACTCATATTAACTACCAAGTATGGTGGTAGAAGGGTGATTTGGGCTTGTTTTGCAGCCACAGGACCTGGGCACCTGCAGTCATTGAGTCGACCATGAACTCCTCTGCATACCAAAGTATAGTAGAGTCAAATGTAAGGCCATCAGTCCGACAGCTAAAGCTTGGCCGAAATTGGGACAATGATCCCAAGCACACCAGCAAATCTACAACAGAATGGCTGAAAAAGAAAAGAATCAAGGTGTTGCAATGGCCCAGTCAATGTCCAGACCTCAATCCGATTGATTTGCTGGGGCAGAGCTTTAAGAGATCTGTGCATAAACGAATTCCCACAAACCTCAGTGAACTGAAGCAACAAAGTAAAGAAGAGTGGGTCAGAATTCCTCCACAATCATGTGAGAGACTGATAAAGTCATACAGAAAATGAATACTTCAAGTTATTACTGCTAAAGGTGGTTCTACAAGCTACTGAATCATCTGGTGTACAGACGCTCCTCTACTTACGAACTTTCGGACATACGAATGAAGAGGACTGTAAGTCCAAATTGTGTTCATTGGGCTCCTGTTTCCTGTCCGCAACATCATTTTTTCTCTGCGCGCCAGTTCCGCCTAGTATGACTTCTGGCCGCTACTCCCGCCGCGCAGCAGTGTAGCGTGCGTACTCCCAGCATCCTAATTGTTAGTACTTGCATATACCCTTAAAATGATGTTGAATAATGACTTACGAACATTTCAAATTGTGAATGGCCGTTCGGAACGTAACTCGTTTGTAAGTAGTGTAGCGTCTGTACTTAGTTTTTCACACATGCAATTTCTAACATGAGGTTAGATTTAAATGATTTTTGAACCTGGTAAGGACAAGATTATTTTTTTTTATCATGTCCTGATACATAAAACCATAGAACTGAAAGAGGGTGTCATTTTTTTTCACATGACGGAATATTTTTTGTAATATGTTCCTAGATATCAGTGCATATTTTGTTACATACAAGTTGACGGTCATCTCTGGCTTTAGAAAGTTGCTTCTGCCCCCTACCTGGCTGGTTTTTGGTTATTCCTCTGTATCCTGCTGCACCTTGTTCTTGTGTCATGTCTTAGAAACTTTGAGCCTGGAAGCCTCTTGCCTTGCAGTATAACCTACTGCCAGAACCAGGATTCAAAAATGCAGATATTTTTTTAAAATATAGAGTGGTCTTCTATTTATTTCCCAGAGCTGTTTGTGTCTCAAGTGAAACCGGGCCAGTGAGTTTTTTTTGGGGGGGGGGGGGGGGCGTGGCTAGGATGATGATATGGATTCCCCAGAGCGATCCATGACTGTCAAGGTTCCGGGCGGCTCGGGCACAAAAAGGGTGGACGACCCACTAGCGGCTCCAGGAACAGAAAAGTGGTTTATTAAAGAAAACAGAAAACACTACAAAACCAAAAAGGACCACGAGGGTCAAAAACTGAAAGGGATTAAACAAGACTAAATAACAAAAACCAAATACACGTTGAACACTGAAAATATCAAAACCATCAAACATCGGCACCATCGGAACCATCGGAACCACAACAACACACAACACAGAAAATGAACCACTGAGGAACCAAACAGAAGCAGGAACTAAAATACTAAAGGGGTAACGAGACTAACACAGGAGAGGTGAGACTAATTAACAGAGACTAGGGAAACAGGGCACAGGTGAAACTAATAACTCAAAGGAACTAAAAACAGGGAAACTAAGAACTAACCAAGGACACAGGGAAACAGAAACCAACACTAGGGCATTAAACAGGTAAAGACACAAGCAGGGGCACAAGGAACAAAACCAAAACCAACTACAAAATCAGACACAAGAACTAAAGAAACTCAAATGAAACACTAGGGAGCAAAATACAAAAACAGAGGAGGCGGGAGTCAAACCCAGGACAGAAGGTACACAGATAACCACATGCTCAACACATTGAGCCACATGACCAGACAGGTAACAGAGGAGAACAAAGACTAACATGAAGGACGGGATGACCAGCAACGTCTGCTGGTCAAACAGGGAAGGGACACAGTAGGACCACAGCAGGGGCTGACCCTGACACATGACACACTATTGATAAAGGAACACAGAGCTAAAACAACATATCAAATACTGAACTACTGTTATACACCTAGTGGGCATCCCTTGTCAAATTTATGTCATCTGTGATTATTAATGAATGCAATAAATGTATTGTTCTAAAGCTCAGAAATAAACAGCTATGGATATATACAATATTTGGATGCTCTGGATTAGGCTGTATTGTCATCAAGACTGTTACAGATGGACGTTTAGTTGTATAATTATCTAAAAACAAATACCTGTTCATGAACAATTTTTTTAAGGGAACCAATAAGTAGCTTGCAGAACACTTTTTAGGATCAATTATGTTCATTCTATATTTTTTCTTGCTTAAACCTGTGTTCATTGGCGCAGTACAAGAAATGGGTAAATTTCACTTTCTTTCTGATGATGAGAGTAGATGTGAAAGGTGAATGAATGCCGTAGAGAATAGTCATCCCCCCCTCCCCCGTTTATATAATAATATATTAGTGTATATTTTCATCCAGAGTGACATACAGTTGAGGATGCAGGGCCAGGCAGTCTCTGGAGTAAAAATGGTAACCACCCCCCTGAATAAGGGCCCCACTGTGAAAATCACTCTGCTGATCTAATATCCTGTGTGTGTGTTTTTTTTTTGTTTTTTTTTAAGGTGTGACCAAAAACAATCATCCCACTCATTTAACTGGATAACACTTTGTTGAGTTTGCTTCTCACTTTTTTTTGTTGTACTAAAACAGTGTCGGGCGTCTTTAAGGACTGAATAGAGAGGTGTCAGTTTTCCTAACTGACTCCTGGTGTGGGACGTCCTTGTGTATCGTTTCCCTAGTAACGGAACTAAGCTAAGATCGCAAGACATGTCTCTGAAAAGTAAACTGTGAAAAGAAAAGAAACGTATCTTAAAACACTGTTTGTTTTTTGTATATTGGTTCAGAGGTGGAATCGGTACATTTTAAAGGCCATCGACGATAAGTTTATAGATCCTCCCTAATGTGAGTAAGACAATTTAAACAGTTTTGAAAAGAATATCTAATTTAGATCATGTGTTTCATTTCTGCGTTTAATTACTGAGAAGCGTCATGCGGTCTTAGTCACTAAAACGCCAGAAGCAAAATAAGCTTTTACATCACCTGACATTATGACTATCGTATCAGCGTCTTCATGGTTTCCGTAAATTAGATCTACGCGTAAACAACATCATCTCTTGCTCATAGTAGAAATAATCATAAAATTACGAAGCACGGACAAACAGAAGCGCATACAGACATTACGAGAAGGTAACCGATTACTATAATCATTCATTCAACATTCGTAACTAGGGTTGAAAGCCGCCAATTATAATACGGGATCGCCCAGTATAAAACGGGAGGCAGCGGTTTATTTTCCATTGCGGGACGATTTTTAATAGTAGAAATAACTACTCCAAGACTAAAAGGTTTATGCATAGTTCACAGCCCATTTTAATGCCTTTATATTTGGACATATAAAAACGTTTTTAAAATGTCGAAAGGACTCGATTTTTTGTAGCAAAACACAAAAAAAAATCCCTTTTTTTTGTTGCAAAACCATACCTAATTTTTAGTAACCACATGTTTTTTACAAGTGACCTACATAATTTTTGTCTCATAAAAGAGAACCATAGGAACAAGACGTGTATCTACCTTTTTGGCAAAGGAGTGTTTGTTTAAGGATAAACACGTGGTCTCCAGTAAAAGACTAAATAATAATAATGCTTTAGAATAATAGCCGAGCTGCCAGCCTCTATAGGTCCAGCATTTTTCTATGGACAATGAAGACAATGAAAGTGCATCTACTGTAATCCATTTGTAATCTACAACAGGCGGATTTCTTTCTAATTTAATGTTATCGCACATATATTTTTTCTTAAAGTGATGTTTTCAGGTACTTATTATTCAAGTACATTATTTATGAATTGGCTGCATTTCTTAAAAAAAGTTTTTTTCAAGTCGCATAATTTTCCATACATTTGAATACATTCTAAAATACTTTGAACAAGACGAAACAATTTTGTGAGGGTTGTTTGACAAAAACCGAGAAATCGTGATGAATATGTGTCAGGAGGCCAGCACAGAAGACCTATGCAGGGAGACAGGAAACCAAGAGAGTGACCCGACTCTGTACATTATGGGTGAGCAGGGGCCACGCTTGTGAGGCAACGGATAGAGAGGCTGGATTCTAGTCTCAAAGCTTGGCTCAGTATTTATGGGGAAACCAAGGCAGTGAGAGTGAAGGAATGAGCCGGCAAAGGTCTGGCTGCTGGTTTCTGTCAATGTTGATCCCTGACAACTTTCCTTCCTCTCTGTTTAAGATGGAGTCTGTCAAACCCGGAGCTGGCCGGGGCAACGAGGAGGACGTAACGCGTCGTTCTGCCCCGCTGGAGGGGAAAAAAGCTACTTCAATGGACAATTCTAATAATCTAGCTGTGGAGCTAACGAGAGCCTTGACCTTTCTGCTCTCAAAGCCAGAGAGTCCCAAAAGCCTGCATCTCTACATGCAAGCTTTCCGAGAAAATAAAACAGAGACTGTAAGACTGATCAGGGTCAGACAGACTCAGCACCTGCCCATAATACTGACAGCATTCGTGGAGCAAACGGCCCAGCATATCAGCAGGCTCCTGGCTGAGAAAGAGCTCACTGGTGACACAGGGCATGAGGAGAGATCAAAGCTGGAAGAGGTGCATGAAAGTCTCTGTTTCCTGGCAGCCATCGGCCCAAGGGACTCCCAGGTGCAGGAGCTGAGAGCCTTGGTTTTGTTCCACCTGCACAGGTTTGGAGAGAGTGCAGAGGCGTGTTCCCTTGCTCTTCGAGGACAGGATGTGCAGCTGGATCCTGATGCAGAAGGAAACGGGGAAACTTTCCAGCAGCTGCCACCAGAGAGGAGGGCCCGCCTTTTGGTCAGTAGGGCAGCCGCTAATTTCTCCGCCAGGGATAAAGGAGCTGAGACTTGTAAGGATCTGGGAGAAGCCTTCGGCGTCCACCCTGCCAGCGCGAGGCAGCAGTTCCACAGACTGCTTTCCAGCCAAGCCACAAGGGCGGTCGTCTGTACAGAGATGAGGCAGGAGGCAGAACGGGGGCTGCTGCAGTACAGGGAGGCAGTGCTGGCACGGTCTGACCTGCGCTCTTCTCAGGGTGTGGAGCTGCTGGACCCCGTGATCACCCAGCTGCAGGCCTTGTGTCACCTGGAGCCAAACGGAGGTGGGCGGGAGCTGCGCGTGCGCTTAGCCGACGGCCTCCTGCTGCGTGGGGAATTTAAGGAAACACTGTCCATCTGCAGCCAGCTGATTAGCGCCTCCTCTACCTGCCAGAGCTACCAGAATACTGTGCATGTGCTTCGGGGTTATTCCTGCCTTCTCTCCGGGGACCATCAGGGGGCGCTGGAGGACTTCCAGGCAGTAATTGAACACAGCGCCCCCCATCCTCCCAGTTGTGTGCGGGCACTCTGTGGCCGAGGGCTCCTGCGCATGCTGGGTGGTTCCCACTACCTGACGGCCCTGGATTATATGACCGCCAGTCGGCTTCAACATCAGGACGCGGCTTTGGCAGTGCGGTGCCTTGTGCCCTGGAACTGCCGGGGCCTGCTGTGTACCGTGCTGCTGGAGCAAGGGCGCGCCATTCTGGAGGGGGCAGGCAGCCAGATGGTCTCATGCATGCCCACATTACACTCAGAACGCGGGCAGAATGATCAACAACAATCAGCGGAGGGCAAAGACAGCTACTCCCCTGCCAAAGAAGGGTACTGTCCTCCACATATTATTCACCTTAACCATTTCCATTTGCCATTCCATTCCTATTCAGGGTCACAGAGGGGCATAGCCTATTACGGACACTATGGACCAAAGGCAGGGAATAACCCACACAACCCATCATGTCTATTTGTTTAGCAGATGCTTTTGTTCAAAGCTACATTCAAGAGAGGCAGTTAATGCATGAAAAGCATTTATCTGTAATGGAACCGCCTTTGAGGTTACAAGCTGGCCTTCCAAAGAATGATGAGTAACAAGTGCAACTTAGCCCTCTAGACAGAGGTACACAAACATTGTTAGAACTTAACATCAAAAAGGCTAGTCAGATCAAAACCCGTGCGAGTTACAGGAAAAGGGCACCCTGTGTGAGAATGTGGCCCACTGAGACCATAACAATGCAACAGTGAATGAAAACAGAGGGAGGGTCAGCGCTAGGATGAGTTTGATGAAGTGTTCACGCAAGAAATTGGTCTCGAGATGTTTCTTAAAAGTTGTCAGCGGCGCTGCTGACTGGATATGATTCGGCAACTTGTTCCGTCATCAAAGAACCACGGATGGAAAATGTCTAGACTGAGACTTGTTTTCAAATGTTGAGATCAGCAGCTGATGATAGCTTGCAGAATGTGTAAAATGAGAGAAAATGTAGAGGAGCAACCTGGTTTAGACATGTACCATTATATCATAGGTTCTGGATGCACCAAGGACTTGAACTTAAATCGGCGTGAGCACATAGGGAGCCAAAGCAGAAAGACAATCAGATGAGAGGATTTCAGATGCTGGATTGTGAATCATCTGCATTGGTTTTGCCAGCACATTTTGGCAGAGTTACAGTAATTAAAGTGAGGTGGCAAGTACTGATACATAAGGTCTGATCGTCCTGATTTCATATAAATAAATGTAGAAGATCAGGAAATAGCTGCAATGTGGTTAGCAAAGGATATCTGTCATCAGAATTACCTTTAGGTTTCTAGCAAACCTTGACAGGGACAATGTTGATGATCTAAGCTGGAAAATACGGCGGTCTGCTTTGAAAGGAAAGACAAGGAACCTGTTCTTTGAAATGTTCAGGTGGAGATAGTGATTCTTCATCCGCCTTCCGAGTTCTGCAAGACACACGGCAATCGAAGCTGAGACTCTGACGTCCTCTTGAGGAACGGTTAGGTACAATTGGATGCCGTCTGCAAAATAGTGGTAGGAGAAGCCATGTGACTGGATGATTGGACCTAGAGAGGTACAGTGTAAGAAAAAGAGACGGGGGGGGCAAAAACTGAACCTTAAGGCACAGCATTGCTCCCAACGTCACCTAGAAGGATCTACTTGACAAGTAACAATGAGATCATCTCAGAGAATTCCCCATGACGCTGTGTCAAAGGGTGCAGGTCCAGCTGGAGAATAACAGATGACAAAGATACAGCTCTTGCTGATCACAGGGTGTCCACATCTTGGCGGAGAGTCCAGCATTGTCCTTATCTGTTTGATTTGTGTGTCTGTTGTTGCCATGGGAGTAGAATCTGGGTGCATTAGCTAGTGCCTGGTTGTGCCCACTGAGCCCTGTCCTCCTGGGTGTGGTTAGGGCCCTTCTGGGGGTGCATGCCCTGGCCACGCTGCTGATGGAGCTGGAGCCCAGCACGGATGCCCCACGAGTCCTGGCAGCGGATGCCCTGTACAGCCTGCACCGCCCGGAGGAAGCCCACCGCTTGTTGCTGTCCGCAGGGCATGCCCAGGGCCGCTCACCCCTATTGGCCCGCCTGACCCTGCTGCAGCTGCACCGTGGCTTTCTGTACGACGCGAACCAGGTGGGTGATGCTGTTCCGGGGAGGAAGAAAATGAGCGACGCAGACGGAAACCTCCCTCAATCCCTACAGCTGAGATCCAAAAATGTCCCATTGCCCTGATTTTGCATTGTAAATGTTATGAATATTCCTAAAATTAAGATAAAACCTCACTCCTGTGATCGTTTTTGTCTTTTTTGTCAGATTAAGTAAAAAAAAAAAAATAGTTATTAGTATATTTTCAGATTTCCCCCAAAAATACTATTTCCCAAAGTTACAGTTAAAACCTCACCTCAGGGTACAACAGTAGAACCCTTCCGAGGGCTTGAGAGTCCAGGTAGTTAACCCTCCACATCACCTGCTGTCCAGCTGCTCAAGAAGCTGATCCAATGTGGTGACACCAGCTGCTTATGCCCCCTACTGGCTGTGGCATCTCCAGAGGACCGGGCCTTGCTGCAAAGACACTGTCATGCGGCAGCCGAGCGCATTTTGGCAGCCCCAGGGAAAGAGCAGGATGTCAGGGAAGCGATAGCATACCTGTCTATTGCCATCATCTCCTCAGGTCAGCATTTGCAGACTTTGATTGGGTCTCAGGACCCATTCAGTGGATTAGTGCATTGTACAGAGAGATTTATTTTGGTTCAAAATAATAAAAACAGAACATACAGCGCTCACAGAAAATCTTGGGACACTTGCTTAATTTAGTAGAAATTGCAAATTTATTGGTGCTTAAAAAAAATCACAACTTTATTAATTTGTTTGTTAATTTGTAATTAATCAACCAGTAGTTTTAAGTAAAACATTGATTTCAAGTAGTAAGAAACTGAAACCCAAAATACTGTTCAAAAAGAGCTGTTCTGAGTTAAGTTAAATGACAACAGTCTCATTGGGTGCTTTTTAATTAGTAATTTAATTAGCCTTTGAAATAACATAAAACAGTAAATGCTTGTTTAGTACCCCTTTGCGAGCCAATGACTATAACTACAATTAATAGCAAAATGGCAATTATGAATGAGTCAGACAAAGAAATTGACACTTCAAAACAAAATGTCCGTGTGGAAGATATGTGTAGATATGTTAAACATTTGAATCCTCAGAGTGATTCTACTCCATTGGGCCCTTGATCAAGGCCCTTAACCTGCGATTGCTTCCTCCTGGGTATGACTTTAATCTACATCCAACCCTGTAAGGACGTCCTCCAACTTACAGGGAATAACTTGGGGGTAGGTGGCAGGATTGGCCCTCCAGCCACTGGAAAAAACCTCACACTGGTCCATTCGGACTAGTGTGGTGCTGAGGTATCATCCCCCACATGGCTGCACTCAGGTTTCCATCCCTGAGGTGGGTGCAGCAACGCACTCTATCGGTGCATATGCTCCTTACCTGTCTCTCTCCTCTGTTAAACATTGTTTGTCAGTGGGGTTTTGATATGAGGCCTATGAGACTGCCACACTTTTACTGAATTATGCAAGCGTCCTTAGACTTCCAGTGAGCACTGCTGTTTGATTTATGTATTCTAAGCATAAAATGGCAATTTCCTGTTTACGGGTTTAGTGCAGGTGTAATTTAGTAATACTGCTCTCTGCAGGTGGAGAGGCAACCGAGTCTTTGCTGGCAAGGGGGCGATGCTATGCCCGAGTGGGACAGCACAAGACCGCCATCTTTGACTTCACGGCCATTCTGCGAGAGCACACTGAGCATGTGCAGGCTCGGTGTGGGAGGGGCTTCACATACCTGATGCTCAAGCAGCAGAAGGTATGGCACCATATTTGCCTCCTTCTATGAACTGACGCAAACTGGGGATTCAACTCTTTAAACGATTGTAAATGTCTTAATGCTGTAATGGAAGTAATCATTTGGTGAAACACTAAACACTTTTTGAATCTGAAATTACACGGACGAATGAACAAGTAAACTCTTCACTAGAACAAATGTACCTGCAGCATTTTAATTATAGTCAACAAAATGAAGCCAAGTAGATACTGTTTGTTTTTCACTATTGATCAGGGCCCTACCACCTATTGTAGCAACTATTTTAGCTTTTGTTGATTCTTCCAAGAACACCAGGATTGTTCCTTCTTATTTCAAGCAAACAAATTTAGACCCAAATGTGTCTTCAAACTATAGACCCATTTCAAAGTTGCCTTTTATGTCTAAAATCCTGGAAAAGGTGGCAGCACAGTAACATACGGCTGTCTTGCAAGTGAACAGTTTGTAGGGCCAGTTCCAGGTCATGCATTTCTTTCTGCTGAATCTGTCCTTTTGAGGGTTTTTATTGCTGTTGATTCAGGTGATAGTTCTGCGTTGCTGCGTTTAGATCTTCGCTCTGTGTTTGATCCATCACATCACATTTTGATTAATAGATTGGGTGACTGGGTGAATATTTCTGGCTCTGCTTTCGAGTGGTTTAGATCTTACTTCTCATGCTTCTGTGGGTTATTTACGCAACATTAGTAAGCTGAGGGTAATTGTTTCTAACCAAGATATGGAGATGCGTATTCATGCATGTGTCTTCTCACTCTGACTGCTGTAATTCTCTGTTTTCCTCTCTCAATAAGGTGACTTCATGCTGCTTACAGTCAGAATGCTTCCACATGTCTGCTTACTACATCTGGCAAATGGTCCCATGTAACCTTATAGGATCCAGTTTTTAATTTTAATTAGTACTTTTAAGGTTTTTCATGTCCTGGCCTCGAGTTATTTACCTGATTTACTTTATTTGCACTGTGCTCTGTTGCTTTAAAGTCATCTGAAGAAAACGTGCTCACCGTCCCACATACTTGCCTGAAACCTCACGGTAACAGAGCTTTTGGGTATGAAGCCCCGGCTCTGTGGAGTGCATTGCCGCTGTCTTTGGGAAGTGCGGCCAGGGTGGAGTCTTTTAAAGAGCGGGTCAGATAATCTTGTTAAACAAGGTTTTAATAGATTGTAATCATATTTGCGCTGCCTACTATACTGCTGGATTTTCCATCTAGTCAGTTATATGCTGATTTGAGGAGTAACTAGAGGAGTAACTAGAGGCATTGTACTCAGACCATTGCTTATTGTCTTGCTGTTTATCGCCTCATCACCTGTTCCAATGATATTTTATTTTATTGTTGTAAAGCACTTTGTGACCTTGACTGTGACATGTGCTATATAAATAAATGTATCTTACTTAGTGAAAAAAAATAAAAATAATAATTATTATAATTATTATAGTGATAAGAAACATAACTTTGGTACAGGTTTTATTGTATTCCCTGGACAGGAAATACGTATTGTTTCTGGACCAGTCTGCCACTGGACTTTCTTGCTAGCATGTTAACTGTCAAGGGTTGCGCAAGCAATAAAAAATTTGGAGTTGCACTGGCTGTTGGGATTTGGGAATTCATGTAATACAGAAAGAACATCATCTGGTCGTAATATCAGTGTGTGCACAACAGTTCAGCGTGCTTGCTGCCTGAGCCACTCTGTCACTCAATTTTGTAATTTTTGCTATTGCTCATTTACTTTTTAATTTACCTTTTAACGGTATTGAACTTTATAGAACAGCATATAAAAAGCAAAACTCTCATTGTGAAATATGGATAAAAATGTTTGTCTTTTAATATATTAAAGTTTGAGCTTTGTACTGTTTGTGCCTGTTTTCCCAGGAATGCATGAGTGATGTGCTGGCAGCCCTCCAAGTCGATGTTGATGCTGTCACTCAGGAGATTCTATTGCTGAAGGGCAAGACCAGGAAACTTGTCTGTGATTGGCTGCATCAACACTGTAGGGCCAACCTCTCTGAGATCATTGGAGCCAATTCGATTCCTTGTGGGGAGCAGCCTCTCAGGCAAGCCTTTCTTATTGGAGGAATCCTGATGAAAACTGAATGCCTAGAGCCCAGGGGGAACCTCTTATACATCGATATATTAATCGCCAAAGGTAAGACAGAGGATTTTTCTCAATATGCGTATTTGACTGGACTTGTGTTCTCGTGTCCCCATTTTGTGTCATCTTCCATTGCCGAAGACCAGTTCCAATACACAAGAACAGAAGTGCAGAGGATGGTAAAAATCCCTGGATGTTGTTCTTGCCCTGCCCCAAATATCAACTGTGACACTGTGATTTGCATGCCTCAGATGATCCTCCTTCCTTCTTTCAGGTGATATAAAGGCAGCAGGTACACACCTGTGCAAAATCTTTGGCCAGGAGTCACAGGAGCCTGAAGCCCAGGGCAGGTGGGGGGTGGTGGAGGCGTGGCGACGGAACTTCCGGGCCGCAGCCAAGGGGCTAAGCGCGATGGCAGAGTCAGAGCCCGTCATCTTGGACTTCCTGCTTGCGCTTGTCAGCGCGGCTCACAGGAAGCCTCTGGCGCAGGTAGGCAGGGACGTGTCCGGCAACAGTGCATCCTCATAAAGCTTACGGGACCCCATGAGTCACACACTGCACACAAGTCAAATTATTAGGAACCCATTAAGGAGTCTAAATGCCACAGAGTCATTACACACTTCCAGGGAAGACCATCATTATCGTTTTCTTTTCACCGTCGGCAGCTGTGACTGAAGGGGATACACAAGCCCTAAACATTTGGAATATGGGTTGAAATGCTGTGTTTTTGACAGGCTTCCGCACATGAAGCCAGCTACTTCTCAATCTGTGGTCAGTGGCAGCGAGCGCTGGAGTTGCTCACTGTGGCGGTACGAGCGTCCGGGGAGGGCAGCCTGCTATACCGGCGGCAGCGGGCCGCCTGCCTGGCACGCCTCGGCCTCCACCAGCGTGCCACCTCTGACCTGGACCTAGTGGTGCATGGCCACAGAGAGCGCGGGGGCAAGAACCCCGACATGTGGGCGGAGGACCTGTGTCGCCGGGGGCGGAGCCTGCTGCTGAGCTCACGTGAGGAGGCCGGCCTACGGGATTTCGCCGAAGCGCTGGAGATGCATGCGGAGCAGGCACTGCGCTGCATCGAGGACGGGCCCGGCACGGAGCACCTCGCGGACTGCTTCCTGCGGGAGGCCCTGCGGCGGGTGACGGAGCGGCAGTTGGGCCACGCCTGGCGCTTGACGGAGAGTGGCCTGATGGTAGACGCCTGTCATGTGGGGCTGAGGCGCCTCAGGGCTCGGATCAAGCGAGAGGCTGCCGGCTCCTGCATCGTCCACTGACGGATGGAGCCCCCTGCAGGGCGGCAAGAGAAATTACATCCCCCCACACTGCCCAGATAGAGAGGCCCACTGGAAGTTCTCCCAGCCAGTCCAGCTGTCTCTTTGGGTTGCCAAAGCAAGGACCCACGAAACCTGCCATGGGGGACTGATTCGTCCCGGTCAGGGTGACTAGTCTTTGACACTGTTATTTCAGTAATAGACTGACTCGACTTTTTGGATTCATACACTAGAACAGTCCCCAGCCCCTCGCAAGACTGCAGTGACACACTGTACAGTGATGCCTCAGGCATTTAATATTATATGTAACATCTAAGGCATCCATAACATCTGCAACGAAATATTTTTTGAGGAAATGGAAGAGATGGAGGGTCATCATGAACATGTGTGGAGTTGGCCTCTTAGTGTCTGTGGTCAGGATCTAGAAAAAAGGTCATTCTCTCAGAGTGGGTGACAGGCTGGGGCATGGTCAGCCTGGGTACTTGGTGACAGGCTGGGGCATGGTCAGTCTGGGTACTTGGTGACAGGCTGGGGCATGGTCAGTCTGGGTACTTGGTGACAGGCTGGGGCATGGTCAGTCTGGGTACTTGGTGATAGGCTGGGGCATGGTCAGTCTGGGTACTTCTACCTGTTTTCTAGTCTCGTCATAAATCTGCCTTTTTTCTGGCCACAGAGTTTTTTAGTCTTACTCATCCACAGCCTTGTTAATATAAGTTAATATAAGTGTATATTAACACAGCGTGTACTTGTTCTTGCTTCTCTGAAGATTCAGCTTAGATCTAGTAGGCTACCACCTACTAGGAGAATGAGGCTAGACTTAGCCAGACACCAAGATCAAGCTGTTACTGATGAGTTTGTATGCAATTTGTGTGAAGAACTTGCAGACTTGGGTGCGACTGCTGACTCTGATGTGATGAGACCTTGAAGGTTGCCGAGGTTGTGTTGGTGTTGCCAGTGTTCCCAGAAGGAGGTGTTTCATCTCGGAGGGCACCCTGGATATTATCGAGAGGAGTCACAGCGCACGACTTGGTGGAAACTCCAGTCTGTACCGGGAACTGAGGAGGCCGGCTGTGAGGGCTCTGAGGCCAAAGAAGGGGGTGTTTTTTTTTAGACGAATCTGTCTGCGCCCACGTCCTGCTTAAAAAGGAATCGAAGCATTATGCACATCTGAATCTGTTCCTCGGAGACTTGCAGTCAGGGCGAGTTATGGAACGGTCCTTACGGAACGCGAGGAGTTCCGCTGTGTGGTGGGTGTGGTAACACGCTGCATCAGTGCATGCTCCCCAACCTGACATGACCTGTACACATAAAAATGTAACCAATAAGGATATTACCCACATGAAGCTGGAATTGTTTTGTTGGCTGTTTCGACACGCAAATCTAACAAAACTGGTCTTGACTGAATATTATTTCTTCTTTCTGAGGCTGCATTGAAAACGTAAATTAATTGTTTCCTCTATAAATAAATATTAGTAGATTTTCTTCCTGTAACTCCCTCAATTTTTATTTTGCATATGTAATAAATAACTTCTGATAGTAGGGAATTGGGCTGGCTGCTATCATATTATCACATCATTTAATTCTTAAACTTATAAAAAAAAATTCAGCTATGAATGAGATAAAGGTGACAGCTTGTTTATTATTGGCAAGAAGAGAAAATTAAAGAGCACCCAGCTTGTGACCAACACCACTCAACCTGTTCTTTTACCACCATTGATTTGCATTTACATTGTCTGTGCAAAGTTATTCTGTTAGTCAGGTGCTGTCAAGACAATCAAATACAGGAGTGGAAGAAGCAATAACATGAAATAAACAATGCAAAAATACCCTTAAAACGTGTAGAAAAATTCTTACCATTTATCTAATAAAAATTCCTTCAACAACATTACATTATGGTAAAGATTGAATCCATTCCCTCACCACAGCCAGGCCACTGTAATCGTGATATTAAATTTGGAATTTCTGAAAAGATGGAACCAAACCATACCTGAGCAAAGAAACATTAACCAGACATAACAACATCGAATGGTTGTGTGGATGATTATGCACTGAAGTCATCTGGAGGTGGGTGTGGATGTGTGAAATTACTACACCTATGGCAGGTAACTAGTGAGCTGGGTGTGACTCAGCAAAGTGATTCTTGAAATTGGATACTTGTTTGCTATGTAGTAGGCGAAATGTAGTATACAAAGTGAGCAGTAATCCAAATCCTCTGTATGGATGAGACAGCAAGTGAACAGTACTCAGATGGCATACTACATTCTGTGACATTCTGAAGCGTGCAATCAATGGACCCTACACTATCCCATGAGGCCCCTGGAGCTGCAGCCAGAGATGAAGAACGCTGCATGGCCAGACATTTGTGTCCAGATGGCATAGGAAGTGCTGTTTCCATATAGATGTAAGCCGAAAATAATACTCAGTTATGTAAGTTGACTCAAATTCATATATAATATACATTCATAGCTCTTAACAGTATTTAAGTTTTGTGGGGGTCAAGCTACGTCATTGGTAATCATCCGAGTCAGGTAATATGCAAGATCAAATGACCAAAGTTTGTCTGATTGCATGCATACTGTTATCATGCATACATAGAGTACATACTACCTTAAAGTAGCAGGCTCAAGTAGTAGGCTTCTGAGGAAATTTAGTACCTACTGTGTAAGTATGCAATTTCAGACACATCATTAAGTCATGTTTAAAAGATAATGCTGATAAAAAATTAACATAAGACATTTTTTTGAGTAAAGGGTCGATATAATTGGAAATGTCAAAATACATGCCCAAATTAATTTGAGGGTCAATTTCACAATAGGGAAAGCCAAGTAATATGAAAATAAATTCCATATGTACTTTCATATTACATTAAAAAGTTAGCACAGAGCCATAAACCATAAACAGCCTATATCTGTTTCCTGCCATTTGACTCCATAGCCTGTTCTGTGTAACTTAATTGTTTGAGGGACTGCACCCAATGCCAGGGGAATACCTTTTTATAATATTTAAAAAATTAAAATGGCTTTCATCTGTATCTGTTCTCACGCATTCATTAAAATTAGCATATCCAGCACAGCACAACATAATCCTGGGGAAAGCCCCAGTGAAATGAAAAATACACAGACCCCAGGCAGCACACGGTAATACTAAAAATGGAAATTCTCAATAAAAGTTCATTCATGAGACGCGGACCTTTATATCCCGCAGCAGCCTTTGTAAATCATTAGACAGCATTAGATGAAAAGGTCAGTAAGCGTTTTTATGTAGCTGATAATTGTAGGTCCCAGTGGTGGCCTTTTAAGCAATTATTTTTACTGTCTGCTTTTACAAAAAAATTCCAGGATCACAACATCAACAAATGTAACATAAAACACCATATAAATGTTAAGATAAAAAATAACCAGACTTTAATAAAAATAAGTTTTATTTGCCATTTCTACGAGTACATTGTAATGATTCTTTTTAAATGTGTGTGCACCCTGAGTCACTGGATAAATGGTCTGACCCTGTGCTTGGGCCACAAACTGCAAATCTGGAACATATTTGGATTGGTCTCGGTTGAGGGCCCAATATGATATGTCTTCATGTGCCCAAAATCTGCCCCTGCTTGAAATGTCTGATCAGTCACTTAACAATGAGTGAAGATTTATCAACTGACACAATGGGTAACATGTCAAACTATGAATCAAAAGATTCTAGGCTTATAGGCTTGACAACTGGGTTTTCTCGTGCATCCCCATTTTGGGGATAGTGAGTGGCTCATCAGGCTAAGCCTCTGTGTCTGTGATCGGAAGGTCACTGGCTCAAGTTCCAGCCTTAGCAGAATAGTCACAAATCTGTTGGCCATTAAGCAAGGTGCTTAACCACCAGCTCCAATGACGCTGCATGACATTTGACCCTGCAGTGCCAGGCTTGATCTCACCGGTATCATCCTGATCATGCAAAGTCTCAGGACATCCCACAGGGCAACTCGATCAACTGAGTCAAACACTTTATTAAAATCGACAAAGAAAGACATCCTGCCAATATTTGTTTTTGCACTTGATGAGAACCCTCAGTGCCAGGATGCGGTCAATGGTAGACGCCTTAGGCATAAAACCAGATTGCTCCAGTTGCTGGCAGGTAAGCAAGTGATCACAGATCCTGTTGAGGATGACCCTAGCAAAGACCTTATCTGGCCCTGTTATCAGGACCCCATCTGGCACAGTGATATCCCCCTGTAGTTGCCGTAATCCAGGTGATCACCCTTCCCTTTCCAGATAGGGACAGCAAGTCCTGTTTTCCATTCAGTTGGGATGATGCCTGTCTCCTAAATGGAAGCAAAGACTGCCTGCAATGCTAGGAGGAGAACCTTACCACCATTCTGGAGAAGTTCACCCCGGATACCACAGCTCCCTGCGGCCTTCCCTACCCTCAGCTGGTTCACCACCTGTGCAATCTCAGTGACACTGGGTGGTTCATAGCTAATCAGAGGATAACCATTTTCTTTTAAAAGATGTACAAGTAAAAGACTTTGGTCATCAAAGTGTGCTGGCGCTGCAGAGGGGGTGACAATTCCAGTGAGCCAATTTCACCCGGTGTTGCAGTATCTACAGTGGTCCTTTCACAGCTCTGGAGACCAGGGTTTGAGTCTCCGGCTGTACTTGTGTGGGGTTTGCTTCTTCTCCTGGTATTATTATGGGGTGTCTTCTGGGTTCTGCAGTTTCCTCCCACAGTCCAAAAACATGCTAAGATGAATTGCCTGTAGGCGTGAGTGATGTACCCAGCAATGGATTGATTCCCTGTTCTGCATTATTCCCTAACTTGTGCCTGTAGGTTCCAGGATTGGCTCCAAATCAACCTCATACACGTTCACCCACATGACCCTGCATAGGATAAGCAGATATGTAAAATGGATGGGGATTGTGTCGTGTCAGAAAGCGCAGAATCGGCTGACGAAGATGGTGCCGCACACTGTGCGTCTGCTCTGTGACGCAAAGAGCTACTTCTAGGAATGTCAACAGGCCAGTTTCACTTATTCTCAGGTGCAAGTGAAATCTAGTTAAGTCAGCACACCCTTAGAAGCTGGTGCCTCACGACCCAAAAAAATTGCTGAGTGTAGGGTTGATGACTGTAATAGCTGTCGACCAGGGGCGGCATGGTGACGGGAAGTAATTTTACCCACTGAAAACGGTTCCGTAACCATTCACTTGAGAAACATTACCAAATATGACTGAGCAGCTCTGATATAGAGCCTGGATAGATGATTAAACAGCCTAAAATTTACCATGCAGCTTCATAAAGGCTTAGAGGGCTTCGTCTTAGATAGGAATGAGGATTTATTAGCTTTAAAGAGAGCTGAAGAAAACTAGGATCAGAGGGACTATGAGCCCTATCCTTAAATATGCAGTCATTTTTAGATTGTTTTCCCATATACCAAGCATGGATCAATGCCTACAAAGTCTCCCTGTTGCCTGTATCCCACTCATATGTCTGCCTTCCCAACAGTCGAATTTCATTCTGGTAGCCATTCGCTGGGATCGTCTAGCTGGACTAGCTGAAGACCCCGATAAAAAAAAAAATTGCTTGAATAAGGTTCAATTTGCAACTTAATTTTTTTATGTATGCAAAAGTAATTTTGAAATATTCATTTTACAGGAAAAGGTAGCAGGAGAAAATCAGATCAAAGGTAAGCGTGCTTCAATCGATTGGCAGTGTGCGCAGACTCAGCATTTCGGCTAAGTGGTTAGCGGCTGGGCCTGCCCCAAGGCTAAATGCAAAGATAGCAGCTGCTGGTAATCGTTCCTTTCTGTGGTTTGCTTACGCAACTCAGATCAATTGTAATCACTTCAGAAGTGGAAATGTGATCCATAGATGCAAATTATGCTCAGACTAATGTCGATCACGGTGCACATTACCACATTTTATCACATAGCTTTTATCACTACTTCTGCTTTTTAAAATATGTAAGTACTTTGTCAAAAAAAATTATTTAACCCTATCAGTAATAGAATTTATATTAGTATTTAAACAGTCAGAGCAGTAAAATAAGATTAAATACTCTACTTTGATCCATCTGTACACCATCAAAACCCATATCGAATGGGTAAATATTTTTATCCTTATCATTTTTCTGCTTTATCTTTTTTGTCTCTTTAGTTTGTAGCAATTAAACAGACATAAAACAGAGTTTGATCATGCTTAAGTGAAATGTAGCATTATGTTACAAGACATTAATCCTCAGAAAGCTAGGAAATTCACTAAAATGCAAGAACTCTAAGTGCCGACAGCTGTGACTCTCTTATCCAGTTTTTTCATCTGTTTTGTATCAAGTGAAACCCTTTTAGCTTCCAAAATCTCATTTATTAAAGATAATCTCAATGTTTTAAAGGAAAGGGGAAAAATGTGAAGCAGTGTTTTGCACATGCTGTTCAAGCATTTTTTTTGTATAAAATTTTTGCTTGGAAGTCTTGTTTTTCATATATATCCTCAGTTTTATGTAAAATCATATTAACACTTTGTTTTTTACATATTTAACATTTAAAATCATTTGGTGACATTATACATGTTTGTCTATTTATATCGACTGTGAGGGGCCGAGTGTAAAAGCAGGAGTCACAGGAATAATTAGAAAAAATAGGGTTTTTTATTCCAACCCAAATTTAATTTAACAAATACTACGAGAAGGGTCCAGCTGCAGACGCCTGTAGAGTGGAGCTCCACCGGAAATACGTCACCTCCACAGGA